AGACCCGAGCGGGGCAGTGAAAGTCATGACACAGTCATTTGCACAGTGGTCTGCAAAGGGAAACCAAAGGAGGAGAAAAGTTAGATGGCTACTAGAATGTTCCAAGCAAGAAGGAAGGAGGTATCATGTTCAGAAAATGAAGGCATGATAAAGGATGCAACCAAAAAGTTATTCGGACCCATCGAAAGGTAAATGGGTGTGTAACCAGGAGAGCCTAAATATGATCTCTCCTCTTTTCCCACAAGTAGCTGGCAGAGCATGACCAGGAATTGTAAGCTAGTGCAAGGAGTGAAACAGCTAATATTTACTGAAGGTCTTCTGTGTGTGAGGTGCATGGTTTAGGTTGCCTCATTCAAATCTCTATAGCAAGCCATTGTGAGGTTGTGCTTTATGATTATTTATTTACAAGTGAAAAACATAGGTTCAGAGAAGTAAATGATGTGGCTATGATCACAGAATAGATAGTAAAGGAGGTGAATAAGTCAACAATATCCATTGGAATAGCACCCACTATTTCTCAGGGATTATGAGAAACAATTGTGAACACAGAAGTACAGTCTGCTGCTGTATTCAAACTCAGACCTGACTCAAGCTCTGCTCCTCCTTCTTTCCACCACTGCTTTATACTTTTATTTTAAAAATCCCTGGTCTGACTCATTAATAGCATTTGACAAATGCCATGTTTTGCCCACACCATTGATATTAAGCCTAATTTTAATTATTTTAAATAATTTTAAAAGATTTTATTTACTTATATTGTTCAGAGGGGAAGGAAAGGAGAGAGGGAGAGAAACATCAATGTATGGCTGCCTCTTGTGTGTCCCTGCCGGGAACTGGCCTGCAACCCAGGCATGTGCTCTGACTGGGAATTGAACCAGCAACCCTTTGGTTTGTGGGCCGGCACTCAATCCACTGAGCCACACCAGCCAGGGCCATTCTTCCTTTTAAAGTGCTGGTGAACACAAGAAGTCAAAGTACTTTGTCCTTAATTGTTCATTATTCATATTTTAATCAAGAAAAACTGATATCAACTCTCAGATCAATGTAAAGAAGCAGTTAATACAAAACTCGGGCCTTCATTTCTGCAGCCTCACCTTTCTTGAACCAGAACAATGACTTTAGCTTCAAAATAATCTGCCAGATATCAGAATACAGAGCACAAAAAAATCTATTTACATCAAAGTACTTAATTAATTTGAACAGATTGCACTTGAAGGAAAATTCCATGAATAATTTGCATATTTTATAGGCAGGATATTAAAAATGGAAATATCCATGAATTCTATGACAATTAGAAAACATTGCCTCATTCACTTAATAAATATTAATTGAGTACTTACTAAGCCTGAGGCAACGTTATAAGGCTTGTGAAAGAGACAGAAATTACTGAAGCAGGATTCTGCGTCCAGACCCTGCAGTGCGGTAGCACAGAGGACGCAAGGAAGACACACATCACTGTAGTTGGGGCATGTGGTTGTTGGGAGACAATCCTCCGTGGGTCTCTTGCATTTCCACATGTATTATGAGTGAGGCACTGACTTGACTCTCCTTTGTTCTGAACTCTCTTTTCAAGGATGTTTCTATAGCAAACAGCTTTCAATGGCAGAGGGGTATCTCCCTTTGGAACAAAAGGCAGTTCTGCTTACAATCATAGAAGATACAGCATCTCTTTGCTTACTGTCCAGTGTAATAATGTCTCTTGCTAGAGCAGCGACTTTCAACCTTTGTCATCTCATAGCTCACAGAAACTAATAACTAAAATTGTGCTGCATACCAAACATATGTTTTTTACTAATCTGACAAAAGTAAAGGTATAATTTTGATTCCTTCACACCAGACACTTATTGTTGTGTTGGCTGTTGTCATTTTTTTATTTGACAGTCTAAGGAAAAGAGGTCAGTGCCCTCGATTAAATACTCAGATAACTGCACATTTCAATTTTTTTTGCAGCATACCAGTTGAAAATCGCTGCTCCAGAGCAGAGGACAGACATATTTCCTCCCCACTGTAAAAAATTGGGGTTCCCTAAGGTCAGTGATCCTCTCCTGTAATGCCTTCCTCACATCACCCCGGGAACTGGGGCTCTGGAAAGAGGTAAGAGTAAGCTCAGATTCATACACTACTGTTGTTATGAGGAATAAACTGCCCTTTGTCTCTGATCTGGGAGTCTTAGGTCTCTACCAGCATCTGTGCCACTGAGGTACACGTTCTGCCTTGCTGGTTGGGTAAATCACAGATCCTTGACAACTCTTGACAGTGGTAGGCTGCAAATATGGCCACAGATTCACTGTCCCCTTTTTTGCACTTACAGCTTTTCATATGCCTTCTTACGCATTGACTCTGGGCTTGGCCGTGTGACTTGACTGATGAATGGGACATCAGTAAACACGATGCAAATGGAAATTTGAAAGCACCTGTGCACTGAGTCCTGCCACCTTCCCATGAGTCTCATCATGTGAAAAAGCCCAAGCTATCCTGTTCATGAGAAATACATACCAGTGTCCCCTACCACCCCAGCCAAGAGCCTACCAACCAGCAGACATGTGAACGAGGCCAACTTAGATCAAGAGCTTCCAGTCAACTCTCCATTAACCACTGATGGCACTGGCAGATCAGGGCAATTACCAGCTGCTAAGTTTTGGGGTGGTTTGATATACAACAAAGCTAGCAAATGATACATAGTACAAGGCTCAGCCTATGTCTGGTTAAGTACTTAACTCCAGCATCTTAGCACAGTAGCTACAAAAGAGAAGCGCCAACTGTTCCAACTTTGTCTTTGGTTTATCAGTCTGAACAATCAATATACAAGTCACTTAGTTTTCACCTCACAAACAGGTGATGAAATTGAAGAAACTGCATGAATCCAGCAGGAATTGTGGTTAAGGGCAGAGAGCACACCTGGTACTCAAAGAGACAGATGCCACAGTGTGTCAGAAGATCAGCTCTTCTCCTTAATATCTGGCAGTCCTTGGGCAGGTTATTTAATATTATTGCACTTTAGTTTCCTTATCTGCAGAATACTAAAGCCCTCTCCACAGGCATTATAACATAGGTACTATGGAGGAGGCACGCTGCATCTAACCTGCCAGAGCATCCGGGGCATGGTGGTGAAAGAGGTAAAAGACTGGGAGTAGCAACAAACACTGTTAAATGCCTTTCCTGCGCTCACACGCATGCACTTGCTCACACGCACACACGCACAATATCAGACCATTTCCCAAAATTAAATGAAAAACCCAATCAGGAGAGACTGAAGAGGAAAGAAGCTAAGCACCAAGAGGGTTCTATTATGGTGTGCAGGAAGACAAAACTCATGTCATGGAACATGCACATGTTACACATAAGGACCCAGAGTGTATTATGTGAAATACCCTCTGATTAACATAACCTTTCTAGAAGGTTAATGCCCAACAGTTTGAGAGTGTATAAAATGTATCATTACACGAATGCAACTTAAGGTCACTTTTCCAATATTCTACTTCATTTCTGAAGTTTAGAATTAAATTCCTACTTTTTGCTCTAGATAGACATTTTGAGTAATCACCTCTTTCTCCTCTGCATTACTAGGTTTCATCACATTTAAAACACCTTTTCTAAAAGTCTTCCTTCTATGAGTCGGCATCTTTGAAAATTCGCTTTAGCTGCTGGTTTGCAATTGAATACAGCTGATATTGTCTCTTAATCATCAAACACAAGATTACTATTGGACACAGTCAAATCAAACCAACAAATTGCCCATGGGCCTAAGCTGGTTGCTGCACCACTTTGAGACTTTTGTAAAAAAATTTTTTTAAGTTCACCATTGTATATATATTCTTATTTATATAGAAATTGTATGCTGCTGTGTTTTGAAATCATTAAGCAATATACATTGAAAATAAAATTAAGAATTAAATAATGTATATTCAAAATTTAACATTTAAAAACATTCTGGTTAATGACTGTCCACATGAGATGTAGCAAGCACATTAGTTAAGAGTCAGGCATGGATCTGAATTGCAGATCCGCCACTTAGGAACTGTGTGACGTATTACTCAACCCGGAGTTACCTCAAATTACTTAAGTTCTAAGATTCAGTTTCTGTATATGTAAAGTGTTGATTTGCATAGTACATGTATGTGTTTGTGAAACCGGTTGCTCTGAGCATCAGGTGAGATATGTATATGCAATCCTTTTACACCAACGGAATCACAGGAAGGACTAAGTAAATGGCATTTAACCAGCTACCACCATACTGTACACGTTCATCTTCCAAAAAACAGCAGACACATCACCACATTTCATGAGCCACTAGGAATCCGCCTCCAAAGTCCCGGTAAACAAGACAACACGCACACACGTGTGCCAACCAGAAAGGCCCATGGGATCCATTGTGTCCCTGTCCCTGGAGCAGACAGCTGGAAAGCAGTAAGACGAGAACATGCATAGAAAGTTAAAAATCAGAAACATCCCATATCTTTAGGGACTTTGTTTATTTTAATAAAGTGTTTTCAGATTGTCCTTCTTATCCTGAATCTAGAAACACTGAGACCCTGGCCGGGTAGCTCAGTTGGTTAAAGTGTGTCCTGATACGTGAAGGTTGCAGGTTTGATCCCAGGTCAGGGCACATACAAGCAACCGATGAATGCATAAATAAGTGGAACAACAAATTAATGTCTGTCTCTCTCTCTCTCAAATCAGGGAAGGAAGGGAGGGATGGAGGGAGGGACAGAGGGAGGGAGGCATTAAGAACTCCTATAATGCCACCCTTTCTTATGGTAGCCAAATGTCCCTCAACTCAGACGCAATGGAGAGGTCTGGAGGTCCCACTGGAAGGACTTCCAGGTACCCAGGTGAGAGAGGATTCCCAACAGGTCCCCCAACTCATTCTGCCCAGGAAAGGCCCCAACATTCCCAACTCTGGGAACTATCTTCTAATTGGCTGATAGTTGCGTGACCCTTCAGGAAACTTCTTCATCCTCTGTTGAACTGACATCATAAGGGAAACAACCCTGACTTACCCGAAAGTAGTCGCTGCAGGCCGCCAGGACTGCCTTATGAGCGTGGAACTTCTGTTCCTCAGCAATCAGGGTGACGTCGCAAAGAATGCCGTCACTCCTCTGTTGATTCAGCGCGGCCAGGACACTGTCATGGTGGGATTCCGAGTGGCAGAGCCTCTGGCCTGTTAGCATTTCTTGAATACTGTGAACAAGAGCAATCGAGTCAGCTTTCGTGTTCCCCCACCCCCCACACCTGCTGCCCCAGGCTCCCTCACTCCCTCTCCCCAACTTAGGGGCTGCAGGCTCCAGCACACTACAGGAGCGGGGCCTGCGTACTCCCCCACCTTCTCTCCACCGTGCTCTGCTCTCCTTTTCTAGATTTCTCTTTTCCTCGTCCCTTCCGGGTTCTTTTTCTTTCCTACTAGTGCTTCTCTTTCTGAATTTGTTTGTGGGTGTGTCCATGTGTCTGTACCCTGGTCCATGCCTATGGCTCTGCAAGCCTCTGCTTCTCTGCCTCTGTCCCCTCGGTACATGCACAGCTCTGAGTGAAAGTGCATCTGAACTGTGCACGTCTGTGTGTGACTCTGTCTCCTCCGTGACCCCTCCTGAACACTCCGCTTCCATCTCCAGCTCTTTGACTCCCGAGTAGGGACGACACAAGCTCAGAACGTGACCACAGCTGTGCACTGATCCGGCACGGAATCCACGGGACCTGCCTGACCCAGCACAGATCCAGGCAGCTACCTGGTCCCTCACAGCACACAATCCTCTTTTCATAAAGAAAACAGAACTGAGCAAATGTTGGTTAGAGAAACTAAGGGCTGCCAGTAACCATTCCATGTGAAAAGCTATAGATGAAACTATTGATGCTTACCATTAAACTTGGAAAAGTATGAACATCAAAAAATGCCATTGTAAGTAAAAAATATTTAAGCCTGAAAGTAAAATATACCTGCCATTTCAGCCATCAGTGCCTATATGTGATCATTGTACTAGATTTATGAATGACCTCACAATATTATTTCCTATTCTTTTTTTTGAATTTACTAAATTTAGCCATTGTGAAACTTCTTCATTCCCTACCCCATTCTAAAATACGCTTCCCATGCCCTTTCAGAACCCCTAGGTGAAACCTCAGATCTTCCTAAAACAATGCAATAGTAATGCCATAACACAAAATGCAAACTGCCTATGTGGACAGCTATGAGCAATCACAGCTCTGATGGGTGGAAATCTCTACAGCGTGCTAAACTCTCGGAGCTGGCACTGCACTAAGAGGGGTGAGCTGCACCAGTGATAAATTACGCCCAGATCAAGAATAAGGGCCATCGACCCCCGTTCCAGGTCTGTGGGCTCTTCACCAAGCTGAGTAAAGATACCACGCGATGACTGGGCACCGTCTCTCCTATCCTGACCGCTCCTGCATCCAATCCCTCCCTCTGAGTGTGAAAGGGGCACTCAGGGGAGCCAGGGAGGAGACGCTGGCCAAGACTGCGTGGTTGATTTATCTGACAGGGCTCTGCCTGGCCTGTGGGGCCAGCTGGCTGGTAAACTACAATTCAGCACGAATTACACCTCCTTAACGTGAAGCCACGCTTCCTATGAAATGCCAAAGTGTACCAGTAAGCTACGTTGGACGTTTCTGACTGGGGAGCCTCAGAAATGTCAGAACTATTGAAAGAAAAAAAAACTTGACAGGAGGTGATGATATAGGAAGTTCTCGTGGGAAGGTGGAAGGACTCTTTTCAGTTGAAACGCAGCAGCGGGTTTTGGAATGGGTGCTGCCACCGAGCCTATCAGCAGACTTTAAACCAGCAACTGAAAACTGCATTCGGAAGCATAAGTAACTTTTTACCAAAAGTTTCTATCCAAAGCCTAAAATGGAGATTAATTAGCCTGGCTCAATCAAAGACACAAAGGCATAAAATAGTAACAGAAATATTGTATCAGCTTTAAAATAGTTTTTGAAAAAATTTCTCTACCTCCAAAAAACTTTTTATATATTTTATAAACTCAAGGTCTTGCTATGGTCCGTGAACTACTCTTAGTGATGTATTGTTATTAATTCACTTAACATTCAAAACAACCCTATGAGCCAGGTACTGTCATTATCTCTACTTTACAGAACAGAAAACCAAAGGTCCAACCGCAGGCATTTTGAGAACCTAGCATCAAGAACACAGTAATGTAAATTATTATCCCTCAGCTTAAAAAACAAACAAAAAAAGACAAAGCAAAAAATGTAATAATCTGTAAAAAGGATGTCAAAAATCTATGATGGTAAGTAAAAAATTCACAAGGTCCCTAACAATTTTATATTTATACTATGCACATTTAACTAAAAATCAAAGCTGTCTTTAAAAAATATTATACATGAACATATTTATATGACATAATGGTAAGAAATGTTTGAAATCACAATTTAAACACTTATCTTTGCACTGTAACTTAGTCTACATTTTAGAATAGAGAGTAGATTTTTTTTATAACCTTAGAAAATGTTTTTGAAACTCCCATCATTTTCTCTTTTAATATCACTTTAAAGACTTTAATAAATGTATTTTGAAATTTCATTTGTAGTGGAAGAGAATATATTTAAATAATTGCCTTAAAATATTTCCTTACTCATTTTCCAAATATAGTGCCATAATTTGTGTCCTTTTATCAAGCCTGAACCAGTGTTTGAGTTTCAGATATCAAATGACAGCAAATAAATCTTGCCAGGGACAAAAAAGCTGTAAGCCGAAATTTGCCAAAGAATAAAGGGCTTGGTTTTGAAACAGTTATGATCCTGCACAATTGCCCAGGACCTCTCAGTGGGGTTTGAAATATTCAAGCTTAAAGAAAACAACATGCTAAATATTTAAGGCAAAACTTGGCACAAGATTCCAAATATTCTGGAACCAATACGTTAGGAACTCTTAAAAGCAGAAACAAGTACTCCAACTTTCAGCAAGAAATAAAGGCTTATTAATCAACAAGTCATTATTGTTGTCTGAAAGTAACTTTCCACTCCCTCTCCAATGTAAATCTACAAAAGACCTCAACCCTCTAAACATGAAGGCACGTGTGGCCACAGAGCACAGTTGGAAGGCAGCGGGCCCGTCTGAGGTCAGTAACCATACACCAGGAGGAGATGCAAAGACTATGACGTCCCATGTCTACATTAAGACGGGAGCAGAGATACATGCTGGCAAATGGCTCCCTCAGGATCTGTAATTCACACGGGATTAGCACACTAAACCTCCCAACTTGAAGCAACTATTTGGGGAACAAAGAAGAAAGGAAAATCATAATCCTACAACTTCCTAAATTACTGAAGATCAACAAAACATGAGGCCCATTTCTCAAGGGCATACCAATTTGAGTATCATCCTAAAATGGGGGAAGGTGTTCCATGAAAGTAATGCTGCCACTTCAAAAGTCACAGGTGAGTGCAGAGGGGACTGGCCTCCCCAAGGCAAGGTGCATAGCCTGTCCTCGAGGGCGTTCCCGGAACTGCGCGTCCAATACAACAGCCGCTGCACTGTGACTGCCGGCCAAAGGGCACGCGGGATGCCAGACACAGGGTGAAAAAAAGACTGCCAATAGCTCATCGATATTTCTGTATTGATTACACGTTGAAATGTTCATATTTTGGATATACTAGGTAAAATAATCTCTGTAGCCAAATTTCATTCTACCTGTTCCTTTTGCCTTTTAAAAAAAGTGACTCCTTGAAATTTTCAAATTATAAATATGGTTGAACTATGGTCTGTTGGACAGTGTACAAGTTCCTGGGAGACGTGTCCTTCGCTTCTTTCCAGCTGAACCCTCCAAGAGCATCGGGCGCCCTGCCAGGCGGCGGATGAGCACGGCTGCACAGGTACCGCACAGGGCCCAGGCTCTGCAGAATGGCGTGGGAAGTCCTGGACTCCCTGAGCGGCAAATTGGTTTTTAGTGATGCCAGGGAGCAACCATTTGATTGGCCATATGTCAGCATCCAGTGACAGGAAGATAAATCAATGATGTCTTAGGGAACAGGGCTTTCCATGACTTCAAGTCTTTTAATTTTCACTCTGAAACTGCCGGCAGAAACTAAGAAATCAAATGCAGAGCATGATGTCCATGCCATGGTAGCCGCCCCTCACAGGGAAGCACTGCTCTAGTACAAATCACCACTTCAAGTTCACAGAGTTAACATTTTTGATCGGAGACATCTCGGAGAGTCTCATTTTCACACAATAAATTTTTATTGTGTTCAGTCGGTTTTTAAGATTTAAATTCCAAAACAGCTGTGTTGTTTTTAAATACCCTGCATTTTAAATGTAAAAGTTCAAGTCCATTTCTATATCAATGTTTATCTAATATTTAGATATATAAAAATATGCAAGTAGTTTTCAAGTAAGGCCACCAATATGGTATTACACACTTATGTATCAAAAGCAGTCAAGTAGCCTAAAGAGCCTCATTTGTTAAATAGGCTGTGGAAGAAGGAAGACACCTGACAGTTCCAGAAAGACCCATGATTGTCTCAATTCAGTCACTGATGAGCTATGACGTGAATGTCCTAATGACTTCAATTCCACAGTCAAAACAAAAACTATTTGTATACAGGTTAAATACATTATTAAAACAATCCTATTTATTAAAGTGGTCAGGTTTTTAAAAGACCTCATCCTTTAACTCCATTTTTATAGAACAACTTATAATTTGTAAAATTTTAAAGTAAATGCTAACAATAGCAATTGTAATAATAAGCAAAGAAGACACAATATGCTTACAGAGTGATTAAGAAATAAGACTATGAAGAAAGGAACTTAATTATAAACAGTTTTGTTTCATTCCTTCCTTATTCCTTCCTTCAGTCATTTACTCAAGAAACATTTGCTCATCCTGTACCAGGTGCCCTGCCAGGTCCTGCAGGTAAGATGGTAACCAACCCAAACTTGGTAGCACTCCATGGGAACCTTCCGTTTAGCGAAGCAGTTACACATCTATCAAATAACTTGGCCTCCCTGAAGTATGGCTGGCATCGCAGGCTGCAGCAAACAGAACAGAAAGAGTTCTCTAGGCAGGGGAACAGGAAGGCCTGTGGCAGGAGGGAGCATGTCCCTACACAGAAGGTTAACGGAGGCGACCCGGAGGACAAGGGAGGGCATGGTGTAGAATCGGAGACCAGGAAAAGGTCTTGGATGGTGGTGTAAGTCTGAGCCTCGTCTCCATAGAGAGGCTGACAGAAGCACAGCAGTGTGTCCAGAACACAGTTGAGAGACAATCCACAGTCAAAGGTTGCTAAGAAGATAGGAAGGACAGGATTCAAAACACACAAGCAGGGCTGGGCTCAGCTGTGGGAAAGACTGCTCTCTGAGTATCAGGAGAGAGGGTACAAATGGACCAGAAACATATTAAAACTATGGGCCTTTGGGGCTTAAAGATTTAGTAGAATCAATTTCCACTGGACCATGGAGGCATGAAAACCTGGGTAGTGGGGTTTATCCAAGTTGAGATTTTGTCAGGCAAATGCATCAAAAATGCAGGGAGCAAGAGAAATTAAGGATTTAAAAGCGAGAGAATCTCAACTAGATTAAGAAGGGAAACACGGGTTGATAGATTGGTAGAAGACGTTGCAACCAGGTCAAAGCACAGCCGTGACGGAGGTAGCTAAACAGGTACTCTGGAAGGAGAGGTGGTCCCAGTAAGAGAAAAGTGGCTTATATAGTGACTTCAGAAACACAGCAAGTACCAGGGATGCCAGATCCAAGGTGTGACCATGGGGGCAGGTGGCTCAGTGGAGGGAGAAGGTCTTTGGACATAAGCAGATTGAAGATCCAGGGCCATGAAGGTGGGCAGATCCTCCAGGCAAACAATGAGGGCACTGGGAAGGTGTAAAAGATTTGGCATGAAGAAGAACACTGAAAGCCAGGTGTCAATGCTCAGTGACTGAGGGGAAATGACCCCCACAGCAGTGGAGAGGAGCTGAGGGTGAGAGAGTTGAGGAGCACCACCTTCAGAAGCTAGTCTTCACTGTTGCTTTCTCAAACAACCAGTTTGTGGAGTTGTGATCTCAAAGGAAAACAGCGTCCCCGGGTGACAACAACCTCTCTACCCAGCTGCACGGGATATGAGAAAATGACAAAGCCACCACTGGAGAGGGCCACAGGAGAAGTGATGCCGCAGGAGGCCAGGTCTCAGTGAAGTCAGGAGGTGAACACCTCTCCCTCTTCAGAGCAAGGGAGACAAAATAGTTCCACAGGACACAGGGGAAACTGGGAAGTGGGGAAGGGAGGGCTCTGCATCAGAGCAGAGAACAAAAGGCCACTGTGGAGGTGATCGTGCTGTGCGGGAGAGGTGGCAGTGGGACTTGACCAGCAAAAACAGAGGTAGCCGATTTAGAGTAAAAGCCACTTTCAGAAGAATGCATGTGGACCCTGGTAGGCAAAAAATAAAGCACTTGGCTGAGGTGGTGGCAGACAGATACCACCATCTGTATGTGCTGTGCTGGCTGGAGGCCAGATCTACAGCAGGACTTCTCCTGACAGTGAAATCAACTTTTTTAGATCCTTTTTTTGGCTATGGGAGAGGGGGGAGGCTGTCCCATGCATTTTAAGGTATTTAGCACCTCCAACCCCAGTGACGAGGAAAAATGTTGCCAGATAACGTACAATGTACCCTGAGGGCAAATTCACCCCCGTTGGAGAATCACTGATCTAGAGCAAGACCCACTTGGAGGGGGCAGAGGCACTGCCATGACCTCAGCAATGGGCCTGTTTCTGAACACACCTGGGGGGGCTCCTTATCTCTAACAGCTTCAGGGCTGTGCAAGGAAGCTGGTCTTACCATTTCACAGACATACCCATTCTTAATATTTTTATAAAGAAGGTATTTATAGGTTTCTCACCTCTCTTATCCTTTGCTCTGAAGACCCTACGACTGTTTCCTCAAAGAATGTAGATCTGCCTCCACTGAGAACACTCGAAGGAATGCCCTGCATTTTCTAACTGCCCGGCCCGCAGTGGGGGGAAGGCTCCTGCCCTGGGCACTTCCCCGCATCACCCCCTCCTACAGATCTCGGGTTAGAGGGAGCACGCTTCTTCCCCAAGGCAATTCCTCACGCCCTGAATCCGGTACTTTTCCTTCAAAGCACTGTTCACAATCATATTTGCATTGTGCCTGGCGTAATTTGCCCATTGAATATACATTTTATATGGGCGGTAATCTTATCTGTTTTAGCCACTCCTGGATCCTCTGCACCAAACAGAGTGGGCAATAAATATTTGTTAAATAAAGTATTAAAAGAAAGTGCAGTGAATATTTTGAGAATATGTATTATACTCCCCAGTGACTGCTTTAAGGGGATGAGAGTCATATATATGCATAGCTTTCTGATTCTATTTTAAATCCTATACCTTCATAGAAGTGTACCTCTTGTTCAAGGGAGGTTAACTTCTTAAATAAGAACAAGAGAAAAAGCAGTACTGGTCCAAGAATGATGGAACCTGTGGCGGTCTGACTAACAACGTGGTACGACAGTTAGCCCTGGTGCCCCCACACGAAACTCACACACGCTCGGACCACTCTGCTGAATTCCTGCAAACATGTGCTGCAGCCCTGCTCTGCTCTGGGCCCTGGAATGTGCAGTGGGAAGGCTTTGAGGCTGACAAGTCCACAAAGGGACATATCCCACAGGGCTGACCTGAGGCAGCGTTCTGACGGCATTTTCCAGCTGGGTTCCTCAGAGTTTCAGCCTTAGAAGTACAAAGCGGAATCAGCAAGCATTCCAGCTGAAGAAAGACAAGAAAGACAAGCACAGTGAGCTACATGCCAAAAAAAGCACACTCTGGGCTTTTAGAATCCCAATGCATTTTATAGTTGATACAACATTCTGACTGAATGCTCTTTTAATAAACAATATTTCATTGAAATTGATGTTTTATGATTCTTAGGATATAATCCTAGCAGTGAAATTGCTGGGTCAAGAGGCAGGTCTATTTTTATTTTTCTGAGAAAATTCCATACTGTTTTCCATAATGGTTGTACCAGTCTGCAATCCCACCAACAGTGAACTAAGGTCCCCTTTTCCCCACAACCTCTCCAACATTTGTTGTTTGTTGCTTTGTTTATGATGGCCATCCTGACTGGTGTAAAGTGGTACCTCATTGTGGTTTTAATTTGCATCTCTCTGATGCAAATGATATTGAGCATCTTTTCATGTGTCTCTCATAGCAGCACAATTTACAATAGCCAAGAGTTGGAAGCAACCTAGGTGCCCATCAGTAAATGAATGGATACAAAAACTGTGGTACATATACACAATGGAATTCTATGCAGCAGAGAGAAAGAAGGAGCTTCTACCCTTTGCAACAACATGGATGGAACTGGAAAGCATTATGCTGAGTGAAATAGGCCAGGTGTTGAAAGACAAATACCACATGACCTCACCTTTAACAAGAAGCTAAACAACAGAACAAACAAGCAAGCAGAATAAAAACCAAGACACTGAAATAGAGAACAAGGGGGCAGTGACCAGAGGGGAGAGGGAAGGGAATTTAAGGGGAAAAAGGGGGAGGGATTTGGAGGAATAAATAGGAAGGACACAGGGATGAGAACTAAGGGGGGTGGAAATGGGAGGAAGGTGGGGAGCATGGGGCGGGGGAGGCTGGGATGGGAGAAATAGACAAAAAACTGTACTTGAAAAATAACTAAATAAAATATTTTTAAAAAGTGGGTTGGGGAGGCAGTGGGTAAGGAAAGGTAGCCTGGATCACGGACCATAGATGACACCAGAAATAATGGAGAGTAGTATATATACACACTATAATAAAAAATAAAATAAAATAAATAAATAAACAATATTTCAAAATGTTTTTAAGTGTTTAAGTTTTTTACTTCATTGGAACTTTGGGATCTAAGAAGTGAAGTATGTTTGGGAACAAACAATAGCTAAATTAAGCATTACAGTAAAAATTAAAACAGCAAGTGGCCAAAGGGAAAAATTCACATTTGATAAAATGAAGCTACAAAGTCCTAAATCACAAACACGGGTTCACTTATCCTTTACAATGGTTCTACTTTCTTTCCAAACACTAATACTAGTGAAATTAAGATAAAACCAATTATGTCTTGGCTTAGCATCCCCAGGAAGATGATTCTCTATTCAAGGAAAAGATTTCTGAAACTACATAAAAAAGAACACACAGAGAGGATAAAAATTAGCAGAAAGTGGAAAACAGATTCTCAGAAGAGCTTTAGGATTAGCATAGGTGGAAATAAATGATAGGATGGAGTCAGCAAGCTTGCAGTTTCTCCTTACCCACATATTAATGTAACCCCACCCCGACCTGCCAGCACCCCTCACAGTCTTTGTTTCCAGTCCTTGGTGTAACTCTGAAACGTAAATCACATGAATGGTCTGGCACATGGTCCGTGACTGTGCTTCACAGCTCTCACTCGAGAGTCCAGCTCCCACTTTCTAAAACACTCAAGCAGTGGAATTAACTCCAACCTGGAAAATCCTAACAGGCTCCCCTCTGCCTCAATTATATTTTGAAAACTGATTAACAGGTTAAAAACACATAGGAAAGAAATGTGTGAAACTGTGCCTATTTCTGCTGACGTATAGAAAAGAGAGGGCTGCGTTTCCGATCTAAAATATAGTGTTTGTTATAGGAAATACAAACCCTCAGCTGGGTGTGACTGCCCTGTAATTCATGTAGCTACATCAGAATTTACTTAAGTATTCCACTGTTATTGAACATCAGGTTGTTCTGAATATTATTCACACAATTATATTTTATTTCGTGCTTTCTTTCTTCAATTATTAAAAGTAGGATATTTATAGTTTCATTTACTTCTTACTTGTTTTGACACACCTAAAAATGAGCATCATTTTCAATGAATCCATTATGACTGAGCAGTGCAGAGGATGAGGATAATGTGAGCACATTGTTTTATCAGCTGAAAGGCTCCGTGGGTACCCTGCCCCTGCTACAGTTTCCTTTCGGAAACTAGGTTATAATCTCCAGGCCATCGTAGCTTAACACAAACACTAACAGAAATGGTCACTTGAGCTTTAAAATGGCAAAAGATTATTATCACAGAGAGGTGAAAAAAAAGAAACCTTAATCTTTCTGAAAGCCTAATATTATTCAATGCTCTGAATAAGTAGACAAATGAAAAAGGAGTATCCAAAAAGTCATTCAAAATCATCCAAAATTAACAGACACATTGAACTTGGTATTTTTTAGACATTCAAAAAAAGAACAAACTAACAGGAACCAGAGGGGAGGTGGGAGTGGGAAGGGGGGGAAGAGGGGAGGGTTGTCAGCAACATGCATAAAGGACACATGGACAAAGCCAAAAGGGGTGGGATTGAGGGTGGGAGGTGGGGATGGCTGGGGTTGGGGAGAAAATGGAGACAACTGTACTTGAATAAAAATAAAATTCCAAAAGAACAATAATTAAAAATCAAGATAAATCCCCTTATTTGGAAACCAACTCACTCAATATGCTATTTTTATACTAATCCTACCTTTATTTTAAATTTTTATATTGTACTCATCATTAACTTTGAAATACTACATTAAAATATTTCTTCCATGACTGAATTTTTTGGCACCCTCTTAAATTTTGTACCTCATTCACCTCACCCTAGTTTCAGCTCTGTTTTCTGTCATGTGGGTTAGAAAACCAAGAAAGTGATTCTGCAGAGAAAGAAACAGAAAAAAAGCAGATGTACAGAGAAAAAACTAGAGGCAAGAGATAGAAAGAAAGGGCATTCTGATTTTCCATGCACTCCTGCCTCTGAGGGTACATAAATAACCTAGATCTGTATAACAAATTCCACGTTTTATTTAGGTTAACTCAACTGGGGATTAAATGATCCCCAAGAAAATCAAGTAGGGCCCAACTCAAGAAGTGGAGGTGCTCTATTGCTTTAAAAACACAGAGACACAGATATTCCTTTATTATGAGTTTATCTAAAAAACAAAGTACCATTTAAGTTTTAAATATTGCTTCTATGGGAAAATGCACTCTAAGAACTCTGCAGAAAACAGTTTTAATTGCTTTTCCACACGAATTCATTAGATGAGAAGGCAAAACAGAGACAGATACCCTAGGCAGAACAGAGAGGATGGTGCAGGATATTATCACACTCCTCAGAACAGCACACATTTCAAAGTTTATGAACTGCTCAGTTCTGGAATTTTCTATTTGATATTTCTATTTCCATTTGATATTCTTTTGTAGTTTACCACAAACATGAAACTACAGATAAGGAGGGACTATGGTATCTAAAAATCAAAACATAGATTGTATGAAACTATAGAAGAAATGTAGTCAATGAGTTCTTAACAGAACATACAAATATGTATATAATGATATACTAAGTATTGCTTCTAACCCTATGAAAAGGAGAAAAAATCAAACGGCAAAAGGTAAAGTGTCTTCATGCACATAATCTCACCAAAGGTTGCCAGGATGTTCAGAAAACCAACGTACATTGCCTGACACAATGATCCCAGATATTTATTTCTAATAGGAAAAAAGCAAGCTCTTTTTAAATAATGGAACATATTAAATTATTAGTTGTTTTAAAAAGGTGATATGTAACCACATTTCTTCAATTAGGAAAGGAGAGCAAACAAATATTCATGAAATCTATGAAAGCTCATGCAAGCAGAGCTTCATGGTCTTCTACACCATTCTGTTTCACATTTTACATATTCAAAAGCATCAGGTGAAATGCTTGGTGCACAGTGGTGCTCCATAACCATTAGTTTGACTTCCCTGCCCTGTCTCCTGGATGGAAATATTGAGAGCACACTCTGCAAGAGAGCAGATAAGAGCACAGCTGGGAGACACACTGAACGTGCTGGACGTCACAGTCCGCCTCAGGTACAGCCTGATGAGATGAGGTTAGCAGGGCCGAAGAAATGTTTCTGCATTTCATTAACAAATAATTATCAAAATAGAGGAAGTGCAGCTTGTAAGTCACATGAAATTTTTAAAAATCCTAGTAGTTTTTACAACTATAAGTAGTGTCAAAAGAGCATGAGACAGAAGACAATTCACTAATATTGCCAATATAGAAACTACACATCCATAGGAAAAAGAATCACTTCATAGGAAATAATAGGCAAAGAGCATAAACAGGCAAATCACCAAAGCAGAGATATAAAGGAACAGGAAACATTAAAATGTTCCCTCTGGTTAGTAATAAAAATGCAAATAAATCAACAAGATACCATTTCCTTCCAATCACATTGGCAAAGAGTGATAATGGCCAAGGGAAGCAAGGAAAATGATGTTCTTATACATACAGGCAGGTGTCTAAATTGGGACAGGCATTCGAGAAGGCAATTTGTAAATATGTATTAAAGGCCTTAGAATGGGCGAATCCTATGATCTAAAATGCCACATCTAGGATTCCACCCTATGGAACTAATCAGATAAGTGTGCAACAGTGTATGTGCAAGGAGATCCACTGGGTGTTGTTTATATCAGCAAAAACAGAAGCAATCTGTATGTTAGCAGATGTGTTAAATATGTACTTTATCTCATTCAATGGAGAATCAAGTGGTACTTTAAAATGGTGATGCACATATATAGTTATTAACACAAAAAATACATTATTTAAGAGAAAAATAAATAGTAAAGCAATAGAAATTGTATTATGTAAAACTAATTTAGTAAGAAAATATATTTTAGATGTCAATGATGATTATTACCATATGGAAGCTTTTTAAAATTTTGGATATTTGTATTTTCTAATGTTTGTACA